ATCTCCTGGTCAAGGGGAACCTTCCGATTTGGTTCTGGAATGACCCGTTTATCGAGCGTCGATTCTCTTGCTTTTTTGCAACGATCTTTTTACAGAAAGCTGCTCGTTTGACATTACCACACGCCACAGTGAAAGATCCATGGCCAATTTTCGCGTGTGGAAATGAATGAGAAGGAAGAAAAACGGAAATAATTCCGCGGTGCCTGAAGGATCTCTCTTCATATGGACCGAGACAAAATTCCGGCGGACGCAGAATTTTACGCCTCATTTTCACGCCCCGATCGGAGATTGAGAACTCCACTCCATTCGGTTCGCCGAAAGCATCCGCAGCGCCCGGCGCCATTCGGAAAGTAGATATCTCTGCCGAGAAAATGAGACGACGCCCGCGTAGATTGAGGCTGATCGACCTGCCTGGAACTGAATCCAGGTCCCACACGTCGATAGCTCTTCTAGAGCCGAAACATCGTTACGTTCCGTGGGCAGTCCTCCGTCCCTCCCATGAAATATATGGTCTAATCCAAGCATTATTCTGGAGAGCACTCGCGTCACAATGCGGGACGCGAGTCAGAGAGATGCGGCTGAGGTGAAAATATTCGTTTCTCCTTGGAATGCGTCCTCATCCGGTCATCGGGAAGACTAGTACTCGTCGAGGATGAATGACTCGGGTTAGATATGCGAACAGCGAGTCTAATTTACGTCGGATGCCGAACATCCGCTGCAATCCATTCACGTTGCGTCACTGACCGTAGCTGTAGGTCAAATCTAGTTCCGCTCGCTCAGTCAGAGAAATGCGCTTGCCGTGGCGATGCCTTGTTCGACGATAACAAACGTGGGAGACACACGTCGCCGTGACGGACGGGCTCGTCTTCTCCAATTCAGATTCTAGAACGCTGTCAACCTTCTTCAATATAAGCGTGGCGAGTCCGAGAAGCTCACGCGAACATTCGACCAACTTATGAAATTAAGCATCGAACTTTTGACTGTTCGAGTCAAAGTTTTCCACTTGCCGATACTATAATGACCGACGGACCTTCGATCCACGATTTCGCGATGGGGATCCGCCAACGATCAAAGGAGCAATCAAGGGACAGGAGTCTTCCCCCGGTCGAAAACCAATTTCAAACGTTTGTGGGTTTCCATTGTTTTACCATTTTCCGCTCATGGAGTCAACTACGTCGGATCACCCACCTCTGGGAGCAGCGCACGAAACGTCTTCCGTCGACGAGACGCCGACATCAAAGCGCCTCCCGACTGCATGACGTGACATTATTGAACTCTTGTGCGGATTGCTGCATAGTGGACATCGGATGAAGGTTTGCATCAAACACGCGCCGTTCGATTCGGCGATTAATGAAAACGTCGAAAGTTGCCCGTCGAACCCCGCGAAGGAAGAGGAACCATGATCTGAATCCATGAAGCAGGCTGTCGTTTTTTCCTCGTAATTTCCGAAAAATCCGAAAACAGAAATTTGCTGGCCCCCAAAGACTATTACTCAAGATCAGGAACGGAATCCAAGACTCCTGGAGCTCGAAGAATTCAACGTGGAGGGTGATCTCGGGGTGCTTTAATCCTTCAGCACGATCCTCAGATTGAACGATCAAGGACTCAGCGGATAATGAACAGATGAAAGCTCCAGCAAGACTTGGGATAGACATTATAATATAATGTTTCGGTCCGTTCACGATATCCATCACAGATTAGACTTTGTCCCCGACGGCATTAATATGATTGACATCGATGGTGACCACATCGACGACAATGAGGTTCCGCAGAGGACAAACTAGCCCCATAACGAACCTGTGGCCCACATCATAGCCACCCTCGTGGGAGGTCGATCGTGGCCCGCGGCTGTTGTTGTTTCGCCGACACGTTCAGTCGTCGATCCGCCAAGCTCGCGATTCCAGACGGTTGCCTGTTATGGCTGGCATTATTCGAAGGAAACGTTTCATCCGATCAATCGAACCGCTCTAACGGCCACCGATCGATCTGACGAATGTCAAAGCGAGCGGACGATCCTTTTTCCTCCAGCACTTATGGCGAAGACAAACCGCGCCGCTTTTGCTGGAACTGACCGATGTCGTTTTCCCGAGTCTAACCATGACATGCTGCCTAAACGACTACCTGCCTCCCATCTCATTGAATATGCGGATGCGCTATGACGAAAGTCGCTGGCTCTCCGGAGTCTTGCGCCCCGTTGATCGTGAACATTCCGAAATGGCCAGCGGAGGCTCATGTTGGCACTTTCCCGAGAGTCGCCGTCGGAGTCCGTCTTCATGATACCGTCGCGACAAACCATTTGTTTCCTATGAGTTTTCTGTCCGCTCCCCCGACGACTTAGCGACTCCTGTAAGCCGGATACCAATATTCGAATCGGGATTCCCGGCGAGGACGACTCGACAGAGGCCGACAGCGTCAGCCGTAATGATTCCTAGTTTGCGGTAACACCGTGGGAACTTTTAGAGCCCGAAAACTTTTTCGGGCCATGGTGTGAGGCGTTTTCGTGAATGGAATTCTCAATTGCTACGGCGTAAATCACCGGCACTGATTATTCTCGATGAGTCATGATTCCGGCGCGAGAGGTCTCGGGAACGATCGATCTGGATGCGGCAAACAGACTGATATCTTGAGTTGATTCTCCTCGTGTCTGAATAGAGATGCGTCCGAGAGGGGTGGATCGGGCATGATCGCAAGCTCAAAGCTCTGGTGGTCAATGACTTCAATATATTCTTGATTGATCGGCCGCCATCCTCATGGCCTCGTGAGGATGGAGGAGCTTCCGCTCTCCAGCTGCAGGAATCGAAGTGATCGTGAGCAAGCACTCCGTGAGATTCTGAGGATCCTCCTGTTATTGACTCCTCTGGCATCTGAGGGAGCGGAGGGAGATGTCTCGATTCTCGACACCTCGAATTAAGCTGTCCGGTGAGAAGCGAATGATTTCGTCAGCTGGAAAAACACTTGAAAATCAGACGTTGCAAACGCTTGTCTCCGGCCCCCGACATCATCAACCATACGGAATATCGTTGCAGATATTCCCGAATACCGTTTCATGTTCCTTGATTGCTGTACAAAGATTCGGCGAAAACACATCCTGTCGTCGCTGAAGTGTTGATTGTTCGGACGGTGCTCAAACGGGAGCTACCCACACAAAGTGGACACGGCGCCGCGTTTCTTCCGAGAACTCTCTCCTCGATTGATTCGCCCAGTGAAAACAATGATTGCGGATGAATCGTCTGGTCAATCAGCTCCAAGCGCAATCTAGAGCATGGAAGTATGATCAGCCATCATCCACCTGCGGTTCGCCTTGCATTACGCAACTCCCCGGGACCGAAACACCGACACTGGAAAAATGACCACCGAAAAAAGACGAAAGAACGTTTACGATTGACCTCATCCGGCCGAAAGGAAACGGCAATAAAAGTGGTTATCCCTTCTCCATTTCATTGCTTTAAAGCGCTTACGAGAAACTTGAGTGTCTTCGCTTACGCTTCCTGAAATTCCGGGGAGGAACTGACATCGGCGTCGTTCGATCATCGAATCCTCCGTATTCACCACTTCCTATATCCGTGCTTACCACGTGAATACATCCGAATATCGATCCCGATCTGAAACTCGATTGGCACCATTTCTCAGTGGATAACGACGATTCGTCGAATTTAGGAAATTTTCGGGCCGTCCTCCTTCCTTCGGAAACCCCTTTCAGCGGAAAAAGGAGGCAACGGATTCGGCGTCGCCATTCGAGGAAACCGCATCTGAGCCAGAACTACACTGGGTATAGAGTCCGCCCGTGAAGGATGGGGGAGGCGAATGCTCCAAAGCTCCGGGGTCGATTCCTGATCAGTTCTGTCCTTCGATCCGGGTGATTAAACGTCAGGAAGATGAGATACGAAAGGATTTCGGAAGAATTGAAATGACTCCTAGAGGCATGGAAATCTTGAGTCATGATCATGTGCGCCAGCCAATCATCCATCCGAAGCTTCGATCGGACTTTGATTGGGGGTCAGGGTTCGACCAGCTTCGACGCTTTCAGTTAATAAAAAACCCTAAGATTGGAGCGTCGCTCAAGCTGAGCGGCAGCTTTCAACTAGCTCGAAGTCGCCTACTTCTCTTAGAAGGAAAAACTCCGCTGTCATGTATGGAGCTAATAGTTGACGAAACGGCATTCGCGTAACATGATTCTCTCGAGTTTTTGCGATCTGAGCGGCGTTGCATTGATTGCGAATTTCCAAAGTGAAACGGAAACGGGCGATGTCTGAAATTTCGCGCTATTCCCACACATCAAAAATTTTGATTTCTCCTTTTCTCCTCGTTGTCGGATCGGGAGGCGAAGGGTAATGTTTGAGACGGCCAACGAAAGGAGTCGAACGCTCTGTGCTCTGAAATGAAGCGTCCGATGGTCGACGACAGCGAGCACGTCCCCTGTCCGTCATGCCCATCCGTCATCCGAGGCTTATTGATTGACGGCTTGTGATTGGACTTGAAGCAATTTCGCTCCTCCTCGTCCCTTCCATATTCGATAGAACTCCAGCGGGGCAAGCATCCGTTGAGAAATCGGTGTCGCGCTTTCCTAATCGCAGGGTAGAATTACCTCGTTCGAAATCTTCGGGACACGATCAGACCCTCCCTCCCGTTTATCGACCTGCGGCGTACGATACGATTTTTTTTCGTCGGGCGACAGTGATCAGAAGCGATAACAGACCTGTGAGGCTCTCGAATCCGAATCCGCCGGCAACGCGATCAATGATTCCCTCGCGATCAATGAGCCCCTGACTGCATATCACCGGTCGAGGCACAGTCCGAGGGCACTTGAAGACGTGAGCGTGGATCGCCTATTCCTTGATCGACGGAATCCGAGGGAGGATTAATCCTGCGGCGATCCTCTGGGAGAGGGTGCAATCGAGTCATTGCGAAGTCGCTAAATGAATGTCCAGGTCATGCTGGGGATTCCCGTACCGAGATTTATTGCCTACTCCTTGAGCTATATTTTCCATCTTCGATGGAGATCACTGAGGCAGATCCGCTGTTGCAGCCTCTTTTTGCCAGGAGAAAAAACGTGCTCGTGGATCGCTTTGGTAGTCGTCCCACGTCGTGTATGCGTGGTTGCTCTTGACGAGATCGTTGATCCACTTGTATCGAGTTTCCGACCTCTGCTGATGCTTTTCGATGAGACCGATTTGGAAGCGGAACAGATCGTCGAGAACTCCGAGGTGGAGTTGCTGGAGCTTCTCGAGATGATCGCCACCAAGATGTTTCGGGGGTAAAATCCCTGGGAACCACCAGTCGGGAACGGTGGAAGACTTGCTGCGCTTGGAAGACTTGGTTGTCAACGTCGTGGGAGAACGAGAGCTCCTGATCAAACCCGTATCCAAACTCCTGGAACGGGTCTGGCGGCGACTCGAGGTAGATCTTAACTTCGACGTGGTTTCTTCGAAAGTATCGCTGTATTCGGAAGAACCCTGTCGATTAACCGACCCTGCTTGAGAGCCGGAGTCGGACTTTGTCGTCTCACTCCTGCTAGTTGAGCTTTTGGAATGTGCTCCTTGATCTTTCCCGGAATTCCCTCTTCCGGAAGATCCAGTAACTCCCGATTGGGAACTCACCGATTTCTTCGAGGGTTCCGTCGTCTTGGAGCCCGAGGAGACATCCGCGATCGGGTGAGCTTCCGCATCATTCTCTCCAGACTCGTCCCGGCGCCTCGTTCGACTTTTCCTCCGTATGCCCGGCTGACCTTTGCTGTCGGCGGGAAGCTGTTCTCTGCGAACTATTTCAGATGGCTTCGACGCTTTCATTCTGGGACTCCCTGGTTTCGTAACGACACTCCGGGCAATTTTCGGAGAAGCGCCCCGCTCGGGTTCTGGTGAGTCCGGTGCCGAAGTTTGAGAATGTTGACAGTTCTTGTGGTACGGACTCGGAGACCTGCGAGCTTGATGACGACTGGTGTCCGGCAATACGCGTTTTAGTGCAGTTGACTTTTTGACAACTTTGAGCGGCGGAGTCTCTCTCTCCTTTCGAGCGGCCTTGGGACTCTGTGGGATTCGACTCCTGCTGTTATCTCTTCTGTTCTGCTCGTCCGAAAGGTCGAAGGCTACTTCCTTCCGACTGCTGCTAATAGTCAGAGACAGAGTCGGACTGGAATCTTCGGCTCCTTTGGCGGCAACTTCCTTCCGGCGGCTCAGGTTGGCAGCCCTGTCCAGGAGGGCAGCTGCCCGATTCGGAGCTGGTCTTTGAGCGCGATCCTGCTCCGCGGTGAGTGACGGGTCCGGCCTCGGAATTCTTGAGGGTGACACCCGACCTCCGCTCCTAGAGCGCAGATCCTTCAGATAGTTCCTGAGCTCCGATGAGTCCGACGAACTCTCAGCCATGCTTGACGGCAATAACTGAAAAAGCCTCTGAGCGACACAAGCACTAGTTCAAGTGTGAACGCCGAGTTTCACCGGCTCGCACCGGCCCTGTTGCCTCGGTCACCATGGACACCATCCACCGGGTAGTTTATATTCAGCTGGAGACCGCTCAATCAATCGCACTTTCCAAATTCCCTCGATCAAGTGGAGTCCGTCAATGTGGACGGATTCCTCCATTCTTCGGTTCTTGGGCGTGCCTCCTATCGGATCGGGGAATTCAAGGAGTAATTTTTCGATTCCCTGCCTCGATCGTCCTTGACGTCTCTTCGTGGAACGACAAATCTGACTCTTCCTCACGAGGAGTCGCTCCAAAAGTGTGCGAAATTCTGCTCGATTCCGCAGTTCGGAAGCCCTATGATCCGCGTGGAGGGGATACGTCGTTTTCATCCTCAAAAGGCCGAATAGTTGCTTGGAATCGCGGGGCTCGGGAGCCGTGGCGCGGAGCCGGCAATGCGCGCTCCGGCCGCCCTCTCGCTCCGGAGCTCGGAGTCAACAAAACACAGCTGGCCTTCGACGAGCTTACTCGATACGTCGGACTTCACATCTGGCTTTTCACGATGGAGAAGTGGGCTACTTTTTCCCCCGATACCTGAATGACGAAAAAACGGCAAGTCAATGGAGACTCGACGAAGCCTCAGCTCACCGGTGTCAGAGGAGTCTGGTGAGCTTGCGATTGGCTCCAGCGCGCTACGATTTTCAGAATCAGCGGAATCTCTGGTGCCGAAGAGCACCCCATGTGAGTTTTTAGGCTCGAGGGAGCGTAATGCGGAGTATATCAATCGGCTATTGAAGCGACGTGAGAAGCAATCGATGGTCCCCGTCTTGGGAGTTGAGAGTTTTCTTCCGTTCGCGGTAGGAGCCTTTTCGACCAAGTTAGAGAGTTCTAATGAGTCATCTCACCCTGGTTTCCTCCGAGCCGAGGCGGGGACCTTGACGCTCGAGGTCAACAGGATCTCGACGATAACTTCGTTCACGGCTGTCGACGCTCGAAGGAAATCCCTTACCGAGCTTTCTTCCAGGCATTTGGTCTTCCAAGACACGACTTTCTACATCTGAATCGAATGAGCCCAGAGCTCTATCACCTTTCGATGGACTTCTGCGGCGCTGTGAGAGCGAGCAGAACGTACTCTTCGAAGTTGTTGAAGCACGAATCGTGTGTGATGAGAAAACGAAAAGATATGTTTTGTATACGCTCGCTGTCAAGAGGTGAGTTTCAACGTGACTGAAGAGATGTCGTCCGCAGGCTGACATGCCCGTATAGATCAGCCCGTAATTACGATAGTGAATCCAGTTGCGGCCAATCATTCTAAAAGTACTCCGAGCTATACGGTTCCGCTGCTTCCGATTTTAAGAGGTTTTGTGTTCGTCTCCGACTTCGCAGGCCGGAGCACTTAGGTCGAAATAATTCTGAAGTTGGGGAGATCGAACGAAGATATTCCGATTTTCTCGCCCTGTACAGTACGTTGAGGCACGAGTTCCCCCAGCTTATCGCCAGTATACCGTTCCCAAGAAAAGCCCTGATGGGGAATTTCACCACCGAAGTGATAGAAGCCCGTTGCCACGGATTTGCGTGAGTAGAAGACTCTCACCCGACAATAATTAGTCGGAGATCAGAAAATTAACTTCAGTCTCTTAAAATTAAGTCAATCTTCCGAAAGCGAAATCAATATCTATTGATCGCATCCACCCGTAAACTCTAAGGGAAATCGTCTCCTTCCGCAGGAACTTTCTGTCGGATGCGTACGTCAACAGAGAAGTTCGATTTTCCGCAGTCTTCAGCGCGTTCTTGTTCTCGAAAGACGCGAGACACGGACACGAGCTCATGACGCAGGGCCAGTTCCAGGACGCCTCGTGCATTCTCCTGAATGCCTATCGGATCGCAGAGAAACTCTACAGTCTCGAAGACCCAGTCGCGTTCATAACTGTGTGCCTAGTCATTGCGTGTTTGAATGCGTGTGACAACGTGAAACAAGCTCAGAAATATGCCGAGACGGCCGTGGCTGCGGTGAGTAGGCTCCTGCTCTGGGCAAGTTTTCATCTCGCGAATTCGCGGCTCTATCGGGAACTCGTTGTGGCTCGGTACAAGAAGCCGCAAGTCCTACCGGCATGAGCTCAAGGGAAAAAATGGCGATGCACGAATTGACGCGGGCTCTTCCGTTCCAGGTGCGATACCATCGGGACCGAGCTGACATCGCTGTGCCTTTGCTCATTCTCTCCCAGCGTCTTTACGCCCTCGAGGGCAAGGAGCGGAGTGCAATCGACAAAGAGCTGCGCATCTTCGAGGACGAGCGGATTCCGATCGTTAATCTGCCCACATTGCTAGCCATTGTGCTCCGAATCGACATTGGCGTCTACTACCCGTTCCCGAGTCCAACAGCAAACAACTCTACCCCTTAACGAACGCTTTGGTGTCTTAGGCCCGGTTAAAACGAACGCAAGCATAGTTGTCCGGGTCGGGGAAGGGATCGATTTGTGGGAGATCCGCTTCCTCGCAATCATAGGTGATGCGTAAACTTCGAGGACTACTCCCTACATTTTTGAACTACCAGCCTTGCGTCGACATTCAAACATCGTGAACCGCACAGGAAGTCTATCCACGTACCCGGAGCTCACCACTCGAATGTGCGGCGAATGTGGATAGAAGTAGGTGCTTGTACGCGAATATGTATGAGCATACGTATCCGTACAAACGCACACGAAGGCGAGAGACGGCAACCGAGCGCGGAATCGCAGGCTCTCCTACAATCAGTTGAACTCGTCGCTCAAAATCCGTGTATACTGAAGCGGGGGCCAAATCGAATATGGTTTCTCTTTCCGGCCTCAGGCACCAAAGGCTCGGCTGCGGACTTCATGGATGACACTCCCACGAATAGGGAAAACTTGGACCGCCACATCACGCACCACCGCAACGGCGGGAAGAACGACGTTCCGATGACGCTCATGATGATCTCTTAATCCGATGATGAGAAGTGCCTTCAATTAATTCTGTGTCGCAGTTCGGCAAATGTCTTCAAGGGCTTTTTGTTGTGGCTGTTCCTCGTTGCCGGAGACATTGCCGATCGGAGCGAGCTCGAGCAAAAACTCGTTCGTTTTCGGTTAAGGAATCCATGGAATGTCATCCGCACAAGAAGAACAACGGTCAAGAACACTGTCAACGGGAAAAAAACGGTGACAAAGCGGAGTCACCGATTCCGCGTCATTATCAGCGGCATCTGGGACTTATCACGGTATTATCTGGAAAATAGGCGCGTCGAGGGAGCCCTGAGCTCCCCAAGCTCGTGCTGCACGCTGACAAGTCCTCCATGTCTCAAGATGGTCGGTCTGTGAGATTTGAACTTCTCGAAGCTCAACAGAGAGTATACGAACGGATTCCCCCTTTCCCCTTGGATGAGAGCACGTCAGTTTCCCTTCGAGGGCGACGACACGCGCAATGGTCAATGCTGATTAGAGCAGCGCAGAGCCTAAAAATCATTTCTGCATGGGAACAAATCTCTCAGTCCCCTATGACTCTGGGGAGGAGGTCGTCCTAGAATATGGGAGAACAGCACGCAGTGAGATTTTGAATAGTATGTTCCCAATCCGGGTCAATCGTGAGGTGGATGTGACACGATCGCTATCGGACACCTGAGTATAACGAATGACGTTCGTCACCGTTATACTCTCGTTTTGAAGCGAAACTCAAATCAGGAGGTCTTGAAATGATTCTTTTAAAGAATATCCGCTCGAGCTCCGACCAAGAGTTGAAAACGCTAATGTGATAGTGAATATTCCCCTGGACCCCCGAGCTAGATCTCACCGCGGTTCCCTCCGCTCGCCTCATTCAATCAGAGCGATTCAAGACCTCGAAACCCGACTGATGCATTCAGTTGCTTTCCCCTCCGCTACAGGCTGTGCATAAAGGTGACCAATTCGAAGAAAACTCCATTCTATCAGCGGGCTTGACCCTCAAAAAAGTGATTCGCGGTTGGCTGAGTCATCATGGACTCCGATCGAGACGGCCAGAAGGTCCGAAAACAATTTCTCTATTCTCTCAACATTAGGGGGTCTCCAGGTGGACGAGATTCCTCCTCCCGTTGTAGAACCTCCGAACTCAGTTAGTCATTCCCCCTGATGCCCTGAATGAGCCGTAGAAAGAACAATCTGACCGGGCACTCGACGAATCCCGTTGCGCTCCCTGACTGGCACTACTCCGGAGTCGACTGACAGGGCGAAGCGAAAAAAATTCTGCTTTATCTCGTTTGTTTGATCACCGTTCCGAGCTAATATGGTTCGGTTCGCCGGAACAATCTTCTGCCGGCTCGCTTCCCTTGGTCCCTTCGCAAGCGAGCTCCTGCCGAAAGAAGGAGGTGACGTGAAAAACCGAAGTAGTTTCCGCCAAAGAAGGAGGCACACCACGGATATTCTGTCAGTCAGGAGTTCGAACCGGAAGAAAACTCATGCCCAAATCTGTTTGGCAATCTTCGTCTGCATTCTTCAAACGATTATTATAATCAAGGAGGGAGGGGACGAGCGTTTTCTCCGACCCCTTTTAAAATTCTCACAGTGACTGATGACTCAGGAATCTTCGCGATGGACGACGATTTTTGAGAGGGTACGCTATACGTTGCCGCTATTCGAGATACGACGGTAGGCTGAGTACAGCTGCTGTGGTATCCCGGGCTGGTTTCACTATTCGGCCTCATCGCGGTGAGAATGGCTCGTGTCCGTTGTGTTGTTTTCGACCTCTCGATCAGCTCTGAAGGGACGATGGCATCGTCTACGGGAAGATATCAATTATTATTCAATCTTAAGTATGTGAGCACATTAGAGGTCGGGTGCCCTGCATACAAACCTGTACTAGGAAGTTCAAAGGTCTGAGCTGAGGCTCAGCTCGAAGAGTCGGAGGTCGAAGCCGACGGGAAAGAATCGTATTCTTGTACGAATTTATTCGGTCGAACGGCAGGCTGAATTATATGCCGTTCTCGGTTCCTCCCCTTGAAATTTATAACCGACGGCGGATCAAGAGTTTGTCGATAGCAAGTTAGACTCGAAAGAGCTCAGTCTTCAATTGGTGAAGTCATTTTACGTAGACGCTTTTCGTTGTTCTTGATTCCTTAGGCGTACAGATGTTCGGCCGTTATACCCTAGGGAGGACCCATGCCGTCGCGGAACTTCTGGAAATTCCGAGAGGGGAAACAACTTATATGTGGTTATGACGGCGGAAGCTTTGTCAGAATCGTATTTAAGAGGCACACGTGTAGGGATCGAGAGCAAGTTACAGATTAGCGATCGATAGCCTTTTCGCTCGCCGGGCGAAGTTTGTGAATAGTGAGAGTTTGTCAGAGGAGCAGAACTGTTAGGAGATCACTCGTTAGCGAACATGGTTCAAGTTATTGCGGTCAGAAAGCACCGAGCAGAGTGTAATGAATCATGATCAAATATTTGTGACGAGGAGCTCTGCGCTATCAGAGCGAATGGACGTCAGCAGAATATTCAGTAATAAAGAAAGATGATATCCATTGAAAAACCATCAGGAAGTGGAAGCTTGTACATAGAGGACTACACACAGCATTGAGATCTGATTGACTCATCGGAGACGCCGACTGGCAGGGTTCGTCCCGAGATCGCCCAATGTAACCGCTGCCCTGGTCTATATTTTCGGTCTTGCTCTGAATCAGGGCTTTGGGCATATCGCCTCCCCATGAGCAATCCAGCAATTCTCTGATCAGCTGTTCCTACAACTACTGTTGCCGTAGTCGTTCGACCAGAGCGGCAACTGAAAAGCTGCCTGAGCGGCCACAAGTTAAGCTGGCCCGCTTGGATCGAACTGAGACGCAAATAGGAACCACCGAAACCAGAAACGATCCTTCTTTGGACGCTTCCGGATTTTTGACCAAATTTCACGGTGCTTCGCTGCGTCTTTTGTACGCTCTTGGATAAGCGAGCGATTTCTCATGAAATTCAATTTTCATGCGCGTCGGGCGGGAAGAGCCGGCTTGAGCATCGGGAGGCGAGAGAAAGTACTCAGTGTCCTGACTTCGAGCCGCCGATCGTACCACTTTCTTCCTCGGCTCAGTGGGAACGAAGAGAAGAAAAAGGGAGCGGGTGTCCAAACTATATTGCAGTTCCGATATAATGGCGTGATATGTTCTTCTGTCTCTGTCCGCAGTTCAACCAGAATATTGGATTTCCTTCAACAGAAGTTGTCATCAAGGAGGGCGACACGAGCCGAACGGGTGCAAACGGGGGCTCCCATAGGTAGGTATCTCCGACGCGGCGACCTTTCGTACGGTGCCTAGTCGAAGTGATCAATGCACAAACGCACTGATTTTACAGATTACCCTGAAGCTTCGGATATCCGTCAGACAAACAGAAGACCCGGAATGGGCGCAACGATCTCCTTTGCGGATCTCGTCGGGAGGTTTGAACCTTTCTCCTTGGACAATCATTCCTTGAGGGAGGAGATCAACAGAAGTCGTCACCTCTTCCGGCTATCTAGACACGATTCGACATTCGAGTAACTTGAGAACACAGTGGGTGATAGGGAACGGAACTGATGAACTAATTGTTGGAGCATCTTCCCATTCCTTGTGGGAGCCCTTCATAGGAATCCGCTACCCCGAGATGTTCGTCACGGTTACGCATTCTACACAGCTGAAAATATCCGGCAAGCGAGCTCTTGCTTTTCCTAGGAATCCCACATTTGGCAAATGAATGAAGTTCCGATTTTCGACTTTCATTGATCTCTGACCTTCCCTAAAACCAGACGACCGATGAAGCGCATCTCCGGACAGCGTTCAATTCGAAGTGACTGCAAGCGGCTCGATATATACAGTATTTCCTCGTCGGTGCATATCTTCATTCTATTTTTATCCCTCTGATGCCTATCTTATTTGTGCACAGTTTTGTACCACCTGAGCATGCGTGTAATGATGGCTCGTTTCGCTCAGTCCGCAGAAAGAAGGAGCAGCGGTCGAGGGAGCCATCAATCATATTCTCGATTGATGGAATAGACCCAGCGTCTTCTCGCTTGCGGCGCATCCGAACCGGTATCCCTGCTAGATCATAGTAGAAACTCCCTTGTGAGACATTCCTCCGCACCTCCTCTCAGGGTCAAAATAAATATACGGGACATTGAGGACTCTCTCATTTGCCCCCAGTATTTATTGGAACGGGTGACTTTCCTAAGGGACCATCACCGGAATCGCCTTTCGCTTTGAAAGCCGTTTGGTGTTTCTGACCGGAGTGTCGAACAGTCGAGCGTATGTCCACACGGTTGCTTTTTTCGAATGCATTGCGAATGATTTTTTCCCTTGGGACACCTAGTATCGGGCGCGAGCGCTTTCGGTTTTCTTTTGTTGCTACTGCTCTTGTCGACGCCCATGGTTACTTTACTCGGTAACTGTGAATGTTGTGAG